CCTCCTCCTGCTGCCACCTCCTGCCCCACCTCCTCCTCCTCCTCGTCTTCCTCCGGAGGCTCCATTTCCGTGATTTGCCCCGCGATCTCACGCTCCTCCTCCACCACCGCCTCCTCCTCGCGCTCCTCGCGCTCCTCCGCCATTTCTGCCTCCTGTGCCCACCTCCTCCCAGTCTTCGGTTGTCCTCTTCTCTCCTTTCTGGTCCGCCCCGGCTACCTCACCCTCTTCCAGCACCTTCTCCTCCTGCCCGCTTAACTCTCAACGAAACATCACATTACACTCCCTCCATTGCCAGCATTCTCCTCCCTCCTCCCTACTCCTCCCTTCTCCTCCCTCCTCCTCTCCCTCCATCCTCCGGCCTCGTCCGTCCATCGTCATTGTCGTCATCTCTCGATCCTCCCTCCTACATCATCATCGTCCTCTTTCCCCGTCCTCCCTCCATCCTCCCTCCTCCTCCACCCCTCGATATTGTCCTCCTCCTCCTCCTCCCTCCTCAGCCTCCATCCTCCGTTCTCCATTTTCCCTCCTCCTCCCTCCTCCTCCTCCCTACTCCTCTCTCCTCCTCCTCCCTCGTCCCTCCTCCTCCGTACTCCCTCCTCTTCACCCTCTCCCTGGCCCACCCTCCTCGTCGCCATCGATTCCCCCTCCCCCCCCTTGATCCCGACTCCTCCCTCTGCTCCCCCTCTTTGCTCAATCCCGCCTCCCCCTCCTCCCCCTCCTCCCCCCCCCCCTGCGATCCCCCTTCCCCGATCCCGACTCCCCCTCCCCCCCCCCCCCCACACTTCCAATCCCCACCCCCTCCCCCGCCCCCCCAAAAAAAAAACAAAAAAAAACCAAAAAAAACGAAAAAAGCAAGCCAAAAGAGAGAGAGAAAAAAAAGCAACCATGTATGAACTCACCTCGGTCCACACACACACACACACACACACACACGTGTAGTGGGTATATTTCCATGTCCTGGCGCAAGATTCATTCAATTTTGCTCATCTATCAATGCAATCGATGCAAGTAGCGCAAGGCCAGCCCAAGGGTTGGACACTCAGCTGTTCGGCGATGCATATCTCATCCAATCTCTCTCTCTCTCTCTCTCTCTCTCTCTCTCTCGCACACACACACACACACACACACACACACAAACACACACACACACCGACTCCCGCTCCCCCTCCTCCCCCACCCTTGCAATCCCAGCGCCCTCCCCCGCCCAAAAAAGACGCACTGATCCCGACTCCTCCCTCTGCTCCCCCTCTTTCCTCAATCTCGCCTCCCCCTCCTCCCCCC